GAAGGCACTGCCGAGCTGACCTTCACCTTCCAAGCGATGCCGCGACCTCGGTGTCCCTGACTGCCTTTGTCCGCTCCTTTCCCGCCCAACAAAGGGCAGCCATCATCTTTGACCTTCGGGGCCCACCAGCCGTGCGCATTGCCGAGAGAGGTGGTGCTCTCCTTAGTGAACTGCCAAGCATGCGGGTCCATGGCGCACTGAGGGGGCCGCTTCCACTGCATGTCGTCGCGTTCCTCACCCAAAGAGGCCCGCGGCTGAGTGCTGTCTTCATAGGGCCATTACTCACCAAAATCTTCCGTAATAGCAAGGGGAGCTGATTCCTCAGTCGTTTACTTTTCCCGTATTTCCGCAGGCTCGCCACCGAATGGATTCCTCATCTGAGCCAGATTCTTCTCCCAAACCCATCCTCCCCAGGCAGTTGAAAGGCGGGGGGCTCTTGATTCTCAGGCGCTTTCTTGGCCCCGTTACAGGTAGTTTGGATCTTGTCGTCGATGCGGGGGGGGCTGCCGCCTTCGTCGCCTTCCGAGGGAGCCAGCTGCTTTGGTCCGCCGCTTTCTTGGGCTGCGCCGGGGGAACAAGCAGTCCCCACACGGTCGTCAAGACTAGGAGAGCCCGCCAGAGCCTCCAGGAACGCCCCAGACCTCCCAGTGTCCCGCGGCGCCGAACTGGAGCCCGGGCGAACCCGCCTCAAGCCTCTTGGAGCGTCCCGCGACCCCGGGGCCTTCCGCAAGCGCCAGCGCATCGCCGAGCCTACGTGATCGTCGCGAAGCTTGCGCGTGGTCCTGCGCCGCGAGGGCATCCTGGGAGACCCGTGGGCCCGTCCACCTGGGTGGCCGAGCGTGGCTTGTGGCTGTATCCGAGGCGCGGCCACTGGGGGCATCCGGGAAGCCTCCAGAGACCCACAAGTGGCCGCGGAGTTCCACGGGGGTTTCCGAATGTCGCCGTCACCGCCGACGTCGCCGCCGCCGCCGCCGCCGTCGCCGTCGAAAGTGCGCTGTTTTCGGGGGCCTCTGGGGGCCCGGGGGCCCCTGGAGGCCCCCGGAGGCTGCCTGTGCGCTTCGGAGAGATTGGGGATCGGTTTCATCTTGTGCTCCAGGGCGCGAGCAGAGCACCAGTCACTTGATCGCCGCGCGCCGCGCCCCCTCGATGCGGTTGCGAACGACTGCAGGGCCTCCAGCCGCCATTTCAGCTATCTCCGTGGGCTCCACAAATGATTAGGCCTCTTCGGCCCAGTCTACGGCCGCACCGTCGCTGCAAAGCCAACGGCGGAATACATGTTTCATTCTGGTGCACCAGGAGTTCACGATGCTGATGGCCACGTCGTCGGTGTATGTCGCCGCGTTAAAAGTAATGGTGCGCTGCGTCCTCGTGGCCCAGCAGGAATCTGACGCCGGCCCCCCGAGGTGCTCGAGCGCCCAGCGCGCTCCACGGATTGATAAGTAGAGGGAGCCCCCGACGTCCCCGACGACAGTGGCCTCGTGATCTCGAACGTCCCATAGCTCGAACAGCGTGCGCATCATCCGCAATGCGTTCCCCCGCCTGCGCGGCCGTGTCGAAGTCGCGTCTGCCCGAAGCGGGAGATCGGCGAGACGCCGTCGGGTTTCGTGTTCTGGGTCCTCGGCGACGCGCTGTCGCCGATGCGCGGCGGAATTGGGTCGCGGCCATCTAGGCGAAGCACGTCCCGTGTAGGGCAGGCCGCGTTGTTTGCAGCGGGGGCCCTGCGTAGGAAGAACAATTAACTGCGAACGTTCTGCATGCTGGTCAGTGATGACAGTTTCTCGAGGTGCGCCCAGCTGTGTCAATGAGAACCCCAGAACTTCCCGACCCCCTCCGAGCCTCGAGCGTCGAACTTTTACCATAGTCTCCAAATTTCCGATCCTCGACCTGTGGATTCGGAAGAGGACGAGGAGTAGAAACGTGAGGAGGAATAGTTGGAGGAGGAGGAGGCGGGGGAGGATGGGGAACACATGGTGTTCGCTTAGTTGCACTGCGCCCAAGTGGGCTTCTCTTCCTTTTTTTCCGCAGCCTTTTAAACTTGATTTGAATTGGGGAAACAGCGGGCGAGGGGATTGTCTTGCATTTCTTTTGCTTCCGATTTTTGTCCCCTGAGGTGTCCTGTTCTTCTTCCGCATCACGTTTACGTGCACTCATTCCCTGTCCACCTCCCCCACCACCTCCAGGGACATCTTGTGCGATGATCGAGTTCGCCTCAGGGCAAGCTGGGTTCGGACTTAGGCGCCCATCGGCCCCGACCCGTGCAGCTCGCTTCGTTCGTTCGCAGCAGCGAGACACCCTCTCGGGGACCTTTTCCAATCTTCCATGCCTTTTCAATCCGGCACTTGCTTGCATCCGTATTGCGGCCGGGATACGACACAGTGGAGTATTAAGATCAAGGAGGGGCCAAGCGAGAGCCCCGCTTTGAAAAGGAACCGCTCTCCATCCGTACGGCTGTTGCGCAGCTAGAGACTTCTGGTCGCAATGTTGGGCGGATTATCAGAGTCATCCCTCCTCCCTCCTCCTCTTGTTCCTCCCTCCTCCCTCATCCTCTTGTTTCCCTTTTCCCTCCATTTTTCTTCCTTCCTCCCTCCTCCTCCTCCTCTTCCTCCTCCTTCCCCTTCTCGTCCTCCTCTTCCTCCATTCCTTCTCCTTATAGATAACTCCTGCCCCTGTCGCACCCCGAGGCCTGTTTTTAGGGTGGGCCGGGCGTTTCGCTGTAGACTTCCTCACCATTTGCGATTCTGAAACTGAAAAAGTGGAAGCAGTTTCACAGATGGAGGGCGGGTCGTTT